CGAGTCGTTGATATTACCAGGGTATTTTCTAAGACAGGCTATCTCTTTTGAGATATCCTGGGACTTATTACGAATCCACACCAAGAGAGACAAGAGGATGTTCTCAAAGCCCAAGTCCACTTCGACCTAAAAGTCCCCCAACAGATGTCCAAACCACCCCCTCCTCTCTTGTAGTTTTATTTGTTTTCTTAAGAGGGACATGTTTATGTCTCTCTCTCTTTTCTTGTACATTTTACTTTATTATTTTTTCTTATATTACGACCCTAATTAAGTGTAACTTCTCTTTTTGATTTAATAAAATTTCTCTTGTATCATCGAGATTCTTCTAAAAAAAATTAAAAAAAAATAGAAAAAGAAAGAAAGTAGCTTACTCCATACAAATACAAGGTCGGTATGTGAGTTATAGGGCAAGTATATTAAAAAAACGGTCGATTTCATACAACTGCAGTTTATTTAGGATCTAATTATTGGGAAATATTGACATTATTGTTTTCATGCATGGAAAACTAGATGTAAAATTGAGGGAGTATGATTCTTTCCCTTCCTCTCATATTCTCTATTTCATCTTTCTTTTTCTATAAAAAAATTAATATAAGATGTTGACGTCACTTAACTATGACCGTTCAAATAAGAGGGGAGGAAAGAGGAGGGAAAAAAAAAGGAAGAGAATGCTACTCCAAAATTGAGATGAGCCAAACTTTGAAGCCAACATTTATTAATAAAAATGATTTTATTTGTCTATTCTGTTTTTTTTAATTCCCCAAATTTTTCACATGTTTTAATGACTTCCAAGTACAACATATATAAATACAATTCTACAAACAAAACTGGACCGTAGAGAGTATACATCTAATCAATATATTTGTTAGAGTCAAATATTAAAGTCCAACCTAATTGGTTTACGTAGTTGTAACCAAATTGAACTAGTGTTAAGAGTTCTGATTAATTAGGTATTTCTCGAGCATTAAGGAATAGTGAAATACAAATTAATTTCTAGGGAACTTTAACGAAAAGTTTCCGGTATTGTTCATTTTAATGAAAAACCACATTTACACTAAAAAATCAATCCTAGTACTATTCACTTTTCATTAGTTTTCTTAATTTCTATTGGTTAAGAGGTTCCTGCATGGAAGACAATTTTATGGTCTTTAGTATTCGAGTGATAGGCTCACTAGGGTTTTTAGAATCCATTAGTCAGCACGATTTTAGGGCCTGTTGACTTTATAAATTTGAGGTCTCTATTAGAACTCCCCATCAATGTTCATTATATAAGGAGCAGCAGTGCATAGAAGTGCTTCAATCTATTTCGTCCTGAATTCGCCACAAAATGTATTACAAGAAATAAAATTCTCTTGAAGGTGATAGATACTAGAGAATTTTGAGAATCATAAAATTAGTGTGATGAGTGTTAATCAGTTTAAAATTGTTCTGAAAACCTAAAAAATGAAATTGGAGAAAAACTTATTCCTTTATAACATTTACATGACATGCCACAATACCAATATACTTTTGTCATACAAATCCTTCACTGAAAATTGACGTCCTCCCTTACGTTATCTGGAAAATAAACAAACCAAAAGGGTGCATTAGTTTTTAGCACTCAGCACCAGCAGCCGTCTCCCCACTATAAAACATTACAAATAAAATAAATAATCCTTAAATGCATGGATCCCTAGTAATCATCATAACTTCAAACCTAAAGGAAGGGAATGAAAGGAAGGGAAGACCAAGCCACAAAGTGATACTCCCTTGAAACCTAAAGAAGAACCCTACGCTTACATAAGGAGGAAGAGAAACCATTGGAGGGAAAAATACAGATGAGATTAGAGTAACACAAAGAGAGACATAGAGAAAACGTAGTGAGAGAGAACTACCCAGGAAAAAGCCCAGAAAGTTCCACTTAGCCCAGAAGCATACTCCAAGCCCCAAGCATCACCATCCATGCAACCTTAGTAATTTTCGTAGCTTTACATCAAACATCCCGGCCATTAGAAACCTAACTATCACCCTAGGAAAGCCTAGATTATCTAGCAAAGAATGTCATGCAACCATACAAATCCCTTCTCTCTCATGTAAATTGATAATCTTCTAGCTTTCACACCACGCTTCACTTGAGCAAGTCATTATCTTGATCTTACACGCTATCTTCGAGTTGTTGATATTACCAGGGTATTTTCTAAGACAAGCTATCTCTTTTGAGATATCATGAGACTTGTTATGAATCTGCACCAAGAGAGACAAGAGGACGTTCTCAAAGCCCAAGTCCACTTCGACCTAAAAGTCCCCCAACAGATGTCAAACCACCCCCTCCTCTCTTGTAGTTTTATTTGTTTTCTTAAGAGGGACATGTTTATGTCTCTCTCTCTTTTCTTGTACATTTTACTTTATTATTTTTTCTTATATTACGACCCTAATTAAGTGTAACTTCTCTTTTTGATTTAATAAAATTTCTCTCGTATCATCGAGATTCTTCTAAAAAAATTAAAAAAAAATAGAAAAAGAAAGAAAGTAGCTTACTCCATACAAATACAAGGTCGGTATGTGAGTTATAGGGCAAGTATATTAAAAAAAGGGTCAATTTCATACAACTGCAGTTTATTTAGGATCTAATTATTGGGAAATATTGACATTATTGTTTTCATGCATGGAAAACTAGATGTAAAATTGAGGGATTATGATTCTTTCCCTTCCTCTCACATTCTTTATTTCATCTTTCTCTTTCTATAAAAAAATTAATATAAGATGTTGACGTAGTTTAACTATGACCGTTCAAATAAGAGGGGAGGAAAGAGGAGGGAAAAAAAAAGGAAGAGAATGCTACTCCAAAATTGAGATGAGCTAAACTTTGAAGCCAACATTTATTAATAAAAATGATTTTATTTGTCTATTCTGTTTTTTTTAATTCCCCAAAATTTTCGGGAAATTTGGAAAAATAACCACAATTTGGACCTCATATAGAATTATAGCCACCCTTTTAAATTTATGATAATTATAACCAAAAGTTGACATAAAAATACTAATATACCCTTAAAATTACCAAAACGCAAAATTAAAATATGCAAACCACTGTAGACGGATTCAACGGATTCCCCTTCCCCTTCAATTGGATTCGAAGTCAGAGCCTTTGAACACAAAATTCCTAAATCATTTAAGCTATCACATTTCAAGCTCTTTTAGTTCTTCTTCAATCGTATATGAATCCAATTGACGATTTTGGTCTTCTATTTTTTCTTTTTCTACTCCCCATTCTTTTACTTATGTCTTCCAAAACTTAACAACGTTCTGAACAAAAAAAATTGTTAGAAGTGGGTCTTTTTATCGGCTTTCTTCCAAGTTTATGATGGAATAAATCAAAATTAACAAATTCTATTTGTTTCGTCAGATTTCAAGATGGAAAATAATTTGGGGATTCACAAATGGTGCCAAAAGGAATAAATTTGAACCCAAATCAGCGATCTGGGGACTAGGATTTTTGTAGCCCCTCTGGTTTGTTTTCAAATCTTTTTTATCTTGAAGGTCGATTTTTTCATGGTTAAGAGCAGCAAATGAGGAATGTTTTAGCCATTAGGGGTATTTTAGTACTTTTATATCAACTTTTGGTTATAATTATCATAAATTTAACATTGTGGCTATAATTCTATATGAGATCTAAATTCTGGTTATTTTTCCAAATTTCTCAAAATTTTCACATGTTTTATTGACTACCAAGTACAACATATATAAATACAATTCTACAAAGAAAACTGGACCGTAGGAGTATACATCTAATCAATATATTTGTTAGAGTCAAATATTAAAGTCCAACCTAATTGGTTTACGTAGTTGTAACCAAATTGAACTAGTGTTAAGAGTTCTGATTAATTAGCTATTTCTCGAGCATTAAGGAATAGTGAAATACAAATTAATTTCTAGGGAACTTTAACGAAAAGTTTCCGGTATTGTTCATTTTAATGAAAAACCATATTTTTAAACTAAAAAATCAATCCTAGTACTATTCACTTTACCTTTTATTTTGTTCTTATCATTAAAACTCAAAGTTTACAATCACTTTTCATTAATTTTCCTTAATTTCTATTGGTTAAGAGGTTCCTGCATGGAAGACAATTTTATGGTCTTTAGTATTCGAGTGATAGGCTCACTAGGGTTTTTAGAATCCATTAGTCAGCACGATTTTAGGCCTGTTGACTTTATAAATTTGAGGTCTTTATGCACGCTGCTAACTAGGCCTGGCATTTTGGACCCAACCCGTTAACCCGATCCGACCCAACCCATTAATATTTGTATTTGAGTGGATGCTTAACGGGTCGGGTCGCTAACGGGTGAACCCGTTAACAACCCGTTAAATAACGGGTCACTTTGGGTCAACCCGTTAGACCCGTTAGGACCCGTTAACACCCGTTAGTTGAGAATATTTTAGTAATTTTAGTAAAGTCTTAATAACAAAAAATAAACTTTATGCAAAAAAAAAAATAATAATAATTGTTAACGGGTGTTAATGGGTGAAACGGATGACCTGTTAAGCTTAACGGGTCGGGTTCGGGTGACCCGTTAGCTTAACGGATTGGGTTCGGATGACCCGTTAACTTAACGGGTCGGGTTGAACCCGACCCAAACCCAATAAACCCGACCCGTTTACAGGTCTACTGCTAACACACCACAACTTTAGAACTCCCCATCAATGTTCATTATATAAGGAGCAGCAGTGCATAGAAGTGCTTCAATCTATTTCGTCCTGAATTCGCCACAAAATGTATTACAAGAAATAAAATTCTCTTTGATAGATACTAGAGAATTTTGAGAATCATAAAATTAGTGTGATGAGTGTTAATCAGTCTAAAATTGTTCTGAAAACCTAAAAAATGAAATTGGAGAAAAACTTATTCGTTTATAATACTTACACGACATGCCACAATACCATATACTTTTGTCATACAAATCCTTCACTGAAAATTGACGTCCTCCCTTACGTTATCTGGAAAATAAACAAACCAAAAGGGTGCATTAGTTTTTAGCACTCAGCACCAGCAGCCGTCTCCCCACTATAAAACATTACAAATAAAATAAATAATCCTTAAATGCATGGATCACTAGTAATCATCATAACTTCAAGTAAACTAGAAACCCACAGGCGATATTAGAGCAGTTCCCAGTTAGTGAGAGATTTGAGAGAGTAGAATGGGTTGGCGTGGAATATTGGGTTTTGAGTACGGAATAGTTCAAGCACCGCTGGGAGCTGATATTTCAGGACCGGAGCTTGTTGCTGCTGTTGCGAATGCTGGTGGACTCGGTTTCCTCAGAGCTCCTGATTGGGTAAGTCACCCTTCTTTCCTTTTTTCTTTTTTGTTTCCATTTTTTCTTCTTCTTAAATTCCAGTTGGAAAATGATTTTTATTGATAGTTTTATTTAATTGGATAATAAATGATTGTTATAAGTTCCCAGAGAATTCATTAGAGGAATGTTTCCAATAAAAATTGTTTGTTCTTGCATATCCCTACTGCTTTTCCAAATGAATCCAGATCCCTCACTAAGATTTCAAATAGCTGTCCTGAATTCAAGTTCATTATGTTTCGCCTCTTCTCGGAGAAAGGGATCAAACAATTCCCAATCATGGTTCTCAACTTTCACTTCACCTCCTGGAGATCAATTTGATAACCTTGTTGATGAGTGATTATTTCATGGATCCGTAACACCAACGTACCGATATACCAGGTGTGGAAATAAAAGTGGAAAAAGAGGATATACTTTTAGTGTCCCCTCCACTTGTATTATGACACGTGGTGCACCGGCTTATGTTCTGGATACAATGAAAAATTTCTCCCTGTTGAGCTCTTACCTGACAATTGTAATATCAGCTAAGTTTGTATCTCTATCAATTAGGTCCTTTCTACCTTCATTCCATTAACTTTCTGCACTTTCATATTGTTAGTAAGAGCAATGCTTGGGCCATCAGTCCCCCACGCTAGAGATGGGAGTCTCCCACTCACACGCTGGCGGGTGTTCCTCGAAAAATCCTTGTTCATAATTGTCCTCTCTGCATTACCAAATTGAATTGATCCACATGTTTAGCTTGTTCAACTACAAGAGAGGGGATCTTGTTGATGTTGAGTTCTCATGTAATGCATATGCATATCAATATTTGAAATTTCGACCGTTAATTTTCAACCTTTGTGGAATGGAGTACATACTACATATATGAGTTTCCTAAATTTTCAATTAAAGAAGGAATCGTTGATATACTAATTTTAATTGATCGTCAGGAGTCACCAGATTACTTGAAAGAGCTGATAAGGAAGACTCGAAGCTTAACTAAAAAACCATTTGGGGTTGGTGTTGTTCTAGCATTTCCTCATGAGAAAAATATACAAGCCATATTGGATGAAAAGGTTGCAGTGCTGCAGGTTTACTGGGGTGAATGTTCGGAGGAGCTTGTGTTGAAAGCTCATCAATCTGGGGTTAAGATTGTGCCTCAAGTAAGTGTTCTCGGAGCGATACTGTTCTGAATTATAAATATGAATGTCATCTTGTTTAGCAAAATTATTGTGTTTAACTTGTATCTATCTTCGTGCACACGCTAAAATTAGTTGCAGACATATATTTTGTCATTTCTTTTTATATATTCTATTGGCAGAATACATGTGTATGATACAGCATCTGGCATGTTAATTGTTATTTTCTTTCCTGGACGTGTTGATGAGTTGTATATAATTCGGTTCAAGGTTGGGAGCTTGGAGGAAGCGAAGAAAGCAATACATGCTGGTGTAGATGCAATTATTGTTCAAGGGCATGAAGCAGGAGGGCATGTGATCGGTCAGGTGAGCCTGCTTTCTTGGATCTTGTTTTATTGACACTGATGATTTTATTAGTCACATACTTAGTTTTGTGTTTGCTTCGTTCCTTAAGTGCCTATTGCCTGATACTTGTCAATTGAGATACTTAGAATTATTGACATCCATGTGCTTTCTATTGTTCAAATTATAGGATGCTTTAATTTCATTGTTGCCGAAGGTAGTTGATCTTGTTGGAGATCGAGATATACCTCTCATTGCTGCTGGTGGTATTGTGGATGCCCGTGGATATGTTGCTGCTCTGGCCCTTGGTGCTCAGGGCATCTGCCTAGGAACTAGGTTTGATATACTTGACCTGTTAGACTCTTCAAAGAGCACATTTAAACAATCTTGCAACTAAGGTTTCGGAAACAGGACATTTTCATATCATTGAGTTACAAATTTCCAGAAACTTTCTCATACTGTGGTCGTTCAAGATGTTTTCAATTATAAGTGAAGTTTTGGTAATTTGGTTTTTCTATAAATTTGTCCTTGCAGGTTTCTTGCAACTGAAGAAAGTCATGCTCATCCTGCATACAAGAGAAAGGTGGTTGAATATGACGCAACTGAGTACACTGATGTATTCGGCCGTGCAAGGTGGCCTGATGCACCACATCGTGTTCTGCATACACCTTTCTTCAATGATTGTAAATATATTCCTGCTGATCAAAATGAAGCGGGTCAACCTGTTATTGGCTGCGCAATAATACATGATAGGGTGAGGATGAAATTTTTCTCATACTTGACAAGCAACGCTTACCACTAGAATCAAGAGTATGCCATTTCGGTTTCTGCATTTTTTCATGCATTGCATATAACTAAGTGGAATGTAATGGATAGCAATCTTGACTTATATTCTCTATCAGGAAATAGAAATTCACCGTCTTGCCGGTGTTGTTCCAAATGCGACAACAACGGGTGACATTGAAAGCATGGTGATGTATGCCGGCCAAAGTGTAGGACTCATCAAGGAAATTTTACCTGCAGGGGAGGTGGTAAAGAGGTTAGTTGAAGGGGCTCAGCTTCTGATAAAAAACAAGTTCAGTGATATACTGTAATCTACAGATGCCTTAATTTCACACTGGAAAATTTGGAGAATTGGGCTACAATGGTGAACAAAGTTGAACTAGTATTATTTTGAAGAAAATAAAACTTCGTCCCTGTCAGTCATGTTTATTGTTCAACCATAGTATTTGTTGAGAAATGGGGTACGCGATGAACTGTTTGTTTGTTATATTGCATAATTAAGCACAAGGATACGTTCCTTGAATGATTTAGACTACAAGATCCATTTTAGTTGATTGTTTCTTAAAACTATTAGAAGGGGAATTCAAAGTTTGGCGCAGAGAGGAGAGCATATTGTTCAAACATCGTTCGTTTCTATTCTACACTCCGCACACAATTAAGCATTTTGTCGAAGAATGTCGCCACTTCGATTGTTACTTACATTGTTAAACACAAACACTAGAAAAATAATGTCTTTCTTTTTTTTTTGGAACACCGGCATTTTTGAGGTTGAATTCCATTGTTGTGCTGGAAGTTCCATTGTTGTGCTGGAAGTGAGTTCTGAAGATCACTGGAGGAACTTTTCAACCCAAATGACCCAAATTTCATTCAGTGCTAAGAGTTGTACCAAATATCTATTTGGTGTCGATTTGCAGCTTATATTATGTCAAGTGTGTGTCAGTGACTGGGCTTTCATGAAGCAGCAAGCAGAGTTCAAGTCTGCTATTGAGCAGCAGCCGACAAATGCGTGCGATTGGCACTGTTGCTGAAGCTTATGCAATAAGAGAGAGATTATTAGCTTGCAATGTTGCTGGGTTTGGTAAGATTGTTTGGGTCATATATAAAAATAAGGCCTGCTATGGGCTAACACATTTTTATTTACTTAAAAGTCATGCGATGCCGACCCATTAACTCCAAAGCCTAACTTGGGTTTCGGGAGGGTTGCTTTCCATCACACCTCAACTAACCAGGGGCTTAGACTCATTCCTCTCCGAAGCGTGTCTGCCACATGACAATCAGATTTGAGAATATCTAGTCTCCTTAGATAACGATGAACACGTCACCAAACATGTTGTCGTTGTCTCAGGGGCATGTGAGCGTTGTGTATTTCAGAAGAAGGCCACCAATCATAACTTGTAGTTATTGTCAACACCAAAAAGACTGATCTACCCCTACTCCAGCTCAGGGTTTGCTAGACAAGGAGTCGATGATGACCTACAACAAGAAGGAGAAAAAGAGTGTGGTAGAGGAGAAATTATGCATATTCAATTGTAGATATGGGTGACGGATACCATGGTTTAGCAGCTTTAGCTAGCATTAGTTAGGTTTTTTTAGCGGTTGACAATTTTATTAAAACTAGGAATACAAGGCCTAACCTTTCATTTTATTAAATGAAAACTAATGAAAATGACTTGAAAACTTTGAGTTTTAATCAAAATGACAAAAAGGTGTTGTAAGTGAATAGTACTAGGAGTGACGTTTTAGAGTAAAAATGTCATTTTCATTAAAAGTGAACAGTACCATGAATGTTTCGTTAAAATTTCCTTTTATTGATGTGAATAAAAAAGCCCAACAAAATTTATGGGCTTAGAAAATGATGCAAAAGCAACCAAAAGAGTCTAAAATTTTACATATATATAATTATATTATACACTATATAACAGATGTAAAAATTAAAATAAACCCTAAACCCCTAAGCACTAGACCCCTTCCCACTGTCTGACTACCACTAACCGCTTTTTATAACCTTGTTTATATCTAACAAAATTCTTCCATTGATCACAAACAAAAGAATAAAATTCTTCAAGCAAGCAAAGTTTCAAGAAAAATAAAGATAGAATAAAGCGAAGAAAGCAGTTTATTAAAATTCTAGTAAAGTGATAAACTTGCACGAAGATTGGCAAAATCTAACACAAGCTAAACAAAGCAGACTACCCATTTAGCAGCTTGGATGACTTTGGGCTTTCCAGCAGTAGTTTGCTCATTCGACACTTCATCTTTACTAGGTCTGATATTTACTTTGTCCTTGACTGCTCCATCTACGGTATCTGAGAAATCAAACTCAAGCAATTCTCTCCTTCTTGGCAAGCAGCACATATGTAGCATCAGCAGAAGGAGCAGGCTTTGGTGCCTTTTTAACAGCTGAATCCACTTTTCCAAGTGACGGACTTTCCTCCCCACTTCTTGCATTGGCGAGCTTTTAAGAAGCCAATCTGGACTTAGCCACAACTAGATATGTTAGATCCCACATCACCTAGGGGAGTGATCCTTATATGTATATTCCCATCCCTACCTAGCACGAGGCTTTTTGGGAGTTCACTGGCTTTAGATTCCGTAGGAACTCCAAAGTTAAGCGAGTAGCGCACGAGAGCACTCTCATGATGGGTGACCCACTGAGAAGTTCTTGTGTGAGTTCCCAGAAACAAAATCGTGAGGACGTGGTCGGGGCCCAAAGCGGGCAATATCGTGCTATGATGGAGTCGAGCCCGGGATGTGGTGGGGGACCCGGGCCGGGATGTGACAAATTGAAGTTGATTAAGGGTGATGGTGAATGGTGATACTCACCAGAACAACGAATCGCCATCGAAAATCCCCGAGTTCTCCGGTGAAGTTTTACCTGAATTAGACCTTAAAAACCCTTGATTTTTTGTGGAGGTGGAAGGAGGAAGGTAGTTGAGCAGGTTGCAGGTGAAGGAGATAAGAAAATTAGTTGAGAAATGGTGGAAATTTGCATGAAGTTGGCCGGTTTTGCCAAATAGCCAATGGAGTACACAGGTTCTAGAAATGGGGAAAGAAAAAATGTCCACCCTCCCCCCTATTCGTCCTTTTTCAACCCCCCATCACATGCCCCTTAACCCAATTATGTATATTTGGGCCTTTAATCCTCCAATGGAATTTAAATAATTTCCACTACCTAAAGTTTCACAACGTCAAACGTTCGTAAATATACTGTTATAATTCGGACTTGCAAACAGCTTTTGCCTATGCGTTCGTGGGTTCGAGATCTATTTAAAGACACTAGTTGTAACTTCGAAATATCAACGAAAGATAAAGATTGATTATAAAACTTCCAACTCGATAAATAATCAATTACTAAACTTATAATTAGTGGAATTAAAATTAACTCATAAAGATAACATAATCGCGAAATACGAATTTAAATTATGAAATACGTAATAAATGGTGAAATTCCGGGGATGAGATTTCACATCCTTCCCCCCTTAAAAAGAGTTTAGACCCTTAAACTCAACGCACCTGAGTCAAATAGATGGGGATAATGTTGGCGCATCTTTACCTCTGGTTTCCAAGTTGATTCCTCCACACCATGATTGTTCCATAATACGCGTACCAATGAAATAGTCTTGGTGCGGAGAGCTTTCTCTCTTTGATCAATAATTTCAACGGGGTACTCCTCATAAGTGAGATTCTCCTTAACCTGAATAGGCTCATAAGAAGTGACATGGGAAGGATCACTACGATACCTTCGGAGTGAGGATACATGGAACACTGGGTGAATGTAGACAACTCTGGAGGTAGTGCAAGGCAATAGGCAACTTCGCCCACTCTCTCCAATACCTCAAATGGTCCAATACCTTTAACTCCAGACCCAGATGCTGGAAACAGCTCGACGTCAAGTTTTCTGGAAGCAACAAAAAGACTTCTTCTCAACTGAATGTCCAACAAGCAGGCCAACTTACTAGCCAGGCACTGCCCTTCTTTAGCGACAGCTCCGTGGCTCTTAGCCATGCCATCCTGGGCCTTGCCAACTGATGTGCCAGACTACCCCCATGGTTGTCCAGCGACAACACTATCCAAGAAGAAAAAATTCAACTTTTTCTTATCTTGGTGTGGCACAAAAAATAAAAAAAGAACAATGACGATCAACTCTTTGCAAGGGCAAGCAAAGAAGAAAACTACTGGAGGGTTTACAATATCCTTTAGCCTTTTCTCTCTCTTTTTATAGGGATAACATTGTTCTTTGAGTTTACTTAGTCCTTTGCTTAAGGCAGACTTAAATAAGTCTTGGTGGCAATTGACTTCCCTTTCATAGTGAAGACTCTATTTCCAAAACAAGGTGGAAGATCTACATCAAAATAACTCTCTACACACCTAAGCAGCTTGGGATTTCTACACCTATTGCCCTTTTATGCTTGCAGCCCAGTAGGTGTAGGGGCATTTGTGGAGCAAAAAAAATCCAAAAAATCCTGGAGGCGACACATGAACTTTATCTCAAGAAAGACAAGATTTCTCTCATTGAACGGGCATGGTTCTCAAATACTCCCACGAGCAGCTCAGCATTCCTGAAGGTCCAAGTAGAGGACTACGATTGCTCAAAGCTCCCGTGCTCATGGCATGAAAAAATCAAAGGTATTAAAGATATGATTAATTACTAAATCTCATCTTTAATACATTCCTAATTGAAGATCAACTCAATCAAGTAAGAAATCCCTGTTACAATCAATCAAGGATACTTCCACCATTATCCCAATATATTATCTCTTAATTAATATCTTGAGAATATTATTTCCTTATTATCCAACGGATGACACACCTTGACCAATATGATTTTGCCATGTGTAGGGCAAAACCCTAACACTATAGCCAGCCACCTTCTCCTATAAATACCTTCATCTCCACCAAAATTTGGTAAGCTTTTTGCTATGCATACAAGCCCTAAGCACTCACTCATTTTAGAGATACTAACTTAGGCATCAAAGATTCATTGGCCAAACTTTCCCCAAACTTTCCCCCCTCCCCCAACCTCGTGGGCGCGTGAGGCTTTGGTCTTTGATCAAAGATGTTACTTGTTTTGTAGATACAAATTCGTCAAGATTGAAGACGACGGATTTTACGACCACAACATCGCTTAAAAAACTTTTTTGTTTTTTGGGTTGAATAGTGCGTCTTTGTCTAATTATTACAGCCCCGTAAAGGTAATTAGGCAGTATGTCTTTTGGCAAAATATATAATTTTAGGTCTTCATATTCACATTTGGCTTTTAGGTAGATTTTATGATATCCTACAAACTATATTATGATGCTAGAAGTTCTTTGATAATTATTTCAACTTTTCGATTTTAGTTTTGCGAATGAAAGCTTATTTTGTAACTATTTCAGTTTTCAAAAAAATAAAACAAAAAACTCAAAGATAAAATTTAAAAATGCAAGAAAGTAGTTTTCACTCTTTGGTTAAGTTTTCAATTTTTTGAAGGGTGAATGCTTGCTCACCATCCTACTTATTAGTTATTACCATTTGATGAGTTTAAATTTTGACATTTGTGTTTATCGACCACA